ACAGTGAATAAAAACCTGTTAAAAAAACAGAAAACATATTTTTTGATGTGGACAATATCTATACTAGTTTTAATCTCATACAAACATTTAAATTATCAACTGCAGGCAAAAGAAAACTAACGTTCGCTTGGATCGAACACACAGCTGTGAAAAGGTACAAAAGACAGTATCCCACACATACCGAAGAAATGTAAAAATGAAAATAACTAAAATTGGAGAAGTAAATGAATAATTTGGAGGAAAGAAGAACAAAAGATGGTTTTCAAACAAAAATCATTTTGACCAAAAATTGGGGGTTAAATTTTATAGGATTTCAGATGTACAGAACTCGGTATCGTTACAACTTAACTGACAAAAGCAAGCTGCATGTTATTTCTGCAGCAAGTATAACCTAATGTTTTAAAATCTTCACTAATTCAGAATTTATAATATAATTTGTCCAGAACTAGCTGAAATCCTTTGCACCAGCTATGAAAAGGGAGACTGAAAGCAAACTAATAGTGCAAATTCTAAAGACCATGTTTAAACTGGAGAAGAAAATCGGAAAGCTCTTAAAAACTTAAGCAGAATCATTTTCACCTAAAGATATATGATAGAACCAAGTATTTAAAAATATTTAGTTAACAGCTTGTGGAGTTATGTACATTTGAAAGAAATAAAGTTATGGATGTAATAAAAACGCCCTGCAAAGCTGGTAGCAGTTCCCAGAAGCCTTCACGAATGGTCTTTTCCCCTAGCCATTTGTTCTAGGTACTGAATAGGGTCGGGCCTGTGAAGACAAGTCCCCTCCAAACCCTTTGTGACCACTCCACTCCCGGTCTCTGTTCCTTGGTGTGCTGGAATTGTTCTGTATTCTGTCAACAGTCTCAATAGGACACTGTTGACAGAAATGGGCCCGGTGGAAATGGGCACAAATCTGCATACATCCATGCACTGAGCACTCGCTCTTCCCGCGCACCTCGTTCAAATAACAACGAAGAAAGAAACGTAAAGGCACAAAGACAAACATGATGGGAGAGGAGAAAAGGAGCAGAGCAGACAGGATGTCGACCAGGTTTTGGAAACTGCATGGCAGAAAAGGCTGGAACCTGGCTGCAGCCGGCGAGGCTACCGAAGTCCACCTGGCCTGTGGGACCTGGAACAGACACCTCTCCTGGAAAGACTTCCGAACAAGGGGTGAACTTAAAACAAAGGTGCGGACGAACGTTCGACCAGAACGGTTAGGTTCCAAGCCCACCCTCCAAACCACGCTGGGCACCTGCCTGCTTCCTGACCAAACGAAAGATGTACGGCGAGAGTGGTTTGCAGGCACTGTTAGCAGGGCCGAAGACAGAAGAGAAAACGTCTTAGCGAAAACGGCGTACATACTAAACCCTGAGACATCCAGCCTGGATCCCAAAACACTAGATTAAGATTAGAAAATTCTTTCCTAGCCTGGTGAGTAAGCCCAAACCTGCTGATTTTTATGGATTCCTTAGCTTGCCACCTTAACTCCCTAAGGAAAGCCTACTCATCAACAAACTGCCCACACGCAGAGTTCCCCTAGCACCACTTGATTCTTAAGTATGCATGCTTAGCCACAAAACGCCAAATACTGAAGAAAGTCAGTACTATAATGCCAGAGGCAGGGAAAAAAAAAAAAAGGAAGATGACGGAGACAAAGGCAATGCACAAAGAAACCTTTAAAAGAAAAAAACTCAAGTTCTAAAAAAAGATACTGTATCTGTGAAACAAGAACAGTATGCTACACCAAAGAACATTTGAAGAAAAACAAACAAACAAAGCTCCTGGGAATTAAAATGCATAGAAATATTTTAAAAATCAATCCCTGATTCCAAAGATAATGTAAAAGAAAATGACTTCAAAAATTATAACAAAGACAAAGAGAAGGACAATAGAAGGAATTTATAAAAAATAAAAAAAAAAATCAAAATTTCCTAGAACTGTAGGACATGAATTCCACACTGAAAGGACCCATCAAAAACCTACTAAATAAGATGAAGAAGACCCACAGCAAGGCACATATCACTGTGGCATTTCAGGTCGTGGGGAATAACGACAGGAACCTAAAGCTTCTGAGGAGAAAAAAACAAGTTGCACATGAAGAAAAGATAATGGCAACGGATTTTTTAATAGCAACATTTAAGACAGAAAGTAACAGGATAACAGAAATTTCTGAGGAAAAAATCATTTAAAACCTAGAGTTCTAAACAGTCTGACACAAAAAGCAGGAGTACAAAAAATATTTTCAAGAAATATATCTCCCACGTATCTCCCCAAAGTTACAAAAGGCCATTAGTCCAACAAAACAAGTAAAACCTGAAGATGCCACAGGAGCCAGGAAACAGACTAAGCATGAGGCACAGACGTGGGGATGATAAAGGGCGACACCAGGAAGATGGCTGTCCTGTGTTCAACGTGGGAGCCAGTGCAAATCGAAGCAAGACTAGCAAGAACTCCAGTACAGAGGTCTCTAAGGCGAAAATGAAAGTGTTTGACT